TTTTTCTGCTATTGATTAGGACAGCAGTGCCTAGGTCTCATTCGACAGTCCCTTTCTCAAAAATTTTATTAAACTTGTTACCTAATCGTTTATTTCTTTTTATATAGATCACGTCTCCCGGTTCATAGATTGTACGATGTATATCTCTATTAGCTCTCCTTAGTAGTTTTTCTTGAGATTCTATAATTTTTTCTTTAACTTTTGAAATTGTTTTACTATCTTTAGAGTCAAGCAAATCAACCGGCTTAGAATCTGTTACAGAATGTACGGTGTTAATGTATTTAATAGTGGCTAGTAGTATGAGCTCGATTATATCAGCTATTTGCTGCTGAGCCTTACAACATCTAGCAATTTCCAATAACGTTGAATTTGATCGTTCAACTTGGCTGTTGCTTTCGCTATGGAGTGTTGGTAGGAAAATTGCGTGATTTCGAAATGATCACGTAAAAAAGTGGATAATGCATTCGATCGGAATACTTTTTCGTTATCCGAAACGAAAAGCCTGGTTTTTTTATATTTATTTAAAATTTGTAACAGATCTAATTTAATATTCGATGTTGTTCTTGACACTATCGGTGTAACTATTGCAAATTTTGTCTGTTTATCGATACTTGTTAAAAAGTACGACTTATTTATTATTAAAATATCTATATGGAGTATTTCTTTGGGATAATTTGGTATTGGAGTTTCACCAATAACTCGTTTGGTAGTTTTTTTTGGTACTTCTTTTCATGGCATATCTTGCAATTTGCGATAATAGTTTTGAGAATCGTTTTCATTTTTGAGAAGTAGTATTCTTCCATTATTTGCTTACGATTTTCGTGGAGACATCTGTTGTGCTCCGTTGTTGCTGTCTCCATTTGATCCTCCCTATTAGTCAAATCGATGACAAGTTTCTCAGTGTGAATAAATTTATCACCTGGATATTCCCTTTTCAACATATTTTGAATTGTTGCCAAAGTTGTTCGATCGCAGTGTAGACCATTTATTACATTTATGTTTATTTTATCTTTGATTGTATTTAACAGAAATTCTGTGTTTTTAAAATTTATTGTGTGGCGTACAAATCTCTTTAATAGGATTTTAGTGTTTTATTATTTGAATTGTAATGGGACAAAATTAGTTGATTTTTAAATTGGTTTACAGGGATGTTTACTGTTTTAATTATATCAGATGAGGATTCTTCACTGTGGACTGTATTTCCGTCTAAAGTCAAATTATTAATATATTGATAGATAAGGCATCTGCTACTTTGTTTTCTTTCCCTGGTTTATAGAAGAATTTTGGGAAAATTCATCTATAAATGCACGCCACCTTTTAATTTTTGAATTAGGATTCTTATCAGATATTGAAAATGTGAGGGGTTGATGAGCTGTAAAGATTTTTAGGTTTCCAACACCATATAAGTAGTGACGTAATGTTTGTAAAGCCCAAACAATTGCTAGTAGTTCGCGTTAATTTGTAGCGTAGTTTTCTTCACACTTACTTAGGGTTCTAGAGACCATTGTTATTGGTCTACCCTCTTGGGACAATACTGCACCTAAAGCAACTGATGATGCATCAGGGGTAAGCTCGAAGGCTTTATCGTAGTCTGGATGCTGTAGAAGTTCATCCTCTGAAGCTAATATTTGCTTTAATTTATTAAATGCTTTTACTGCATTCATATTTAAATTTATTTTAGTATTTTTTGATTGTTTGATTCCAATATGACATTTTCTTCTCAGAGGTATGCAGTCAGTGGCTTTGCTATTGCCGCGTAATTCCTTACAAATCTCCGATAATATCCGGATAACTAATACTTACCATTATTTACACTGAAGGCTATTTTATGCCTATCTTTTTCGTCTAAAACTATCTAGTGACACCCAGACTTGAGGTTAAGAGTCGTGTAAAACTTCGAATGTCTTAGATTGGACAATATCACTGTTGCATCCGGTATAGGATACTAATCAGATATCGTTTGTTCATGTATTTGTTCTTTTCTTGTTTTATGGAAAAGCGTGTTGTTTTTAGCGACAATAGTTGCCGCTACTTCTTTAAGGTAATCGTATCCTATGATTTTATTGAAGCTTTCAAGTACTGGAAGTATGAAAAAAGTTGTTACTTTACTTAAAATATTTATCCGACATTTCTCTACTATATTATTAATGCCATTCACAGATCTTGTGCTAGCATGTGGTCGCTTGGTATTTTGATAAATATTTGCCGTCCCTGTTGTTGCAGCATGCACCCACAACATAACCAAGTGATCTGCAATTACGTTGAAATAAAAATTTGAAAATATAGTTAATTAAATGAATCATACACTTACCTGATTTATTTATGAATTATATTTCTATTTTGTTTTTTTGAATTAATTTTTATATTTATTAAATTAATATTCATTAAACTAAATTTAAAAAATCACAAAAGAAGCACCGAATGCATTTTTAATCACATTTTGCAATAATCAAAACAAAACAGCAGAATAGAAAACAAGAACTGCTAAAAATATTCGCCGCAAGAGAAGCTCAAAGAGACGTAAAGTGCACAAGCAGAACGGCAAAGTAAACAAGACTTGCGTGAGATCAGCTGTAAATAAAATGATACACTACGAAAAAGCTCGGTTGGTTGAGTATTTAAGACGCGCATTTTTGTTCAGATGGGGACTTGTAATTGTATCATTACGATTGGCTGTAGTACGTCTACTGTGGTTGATATAATTTACAGGCAATATAGGCTGAGGATAACCCAGCAAAACGAAACGACCCCAAGAAAGTGTCGTTACAATTTGTAATTATTATTATTTTTAAAAGGACAAAAGACAATTACAAAAAGTTTTTTTTTATTTTATTGATTTACACAGAAAGGTTGTTTATTTGCTTACAAGAAAAGGATTTCTTTTTAGTATTTTTTGAAAAATTACTTAGTATAAATTAAGAATAATTTTAAAAGAAATGAACAGAATTTACAATTAAAGAATTTCTTTTTAATATTTTGACAACGTTTTTTATTTTTATTATTGAATGTCTCACAAAAAAACTTCGGCTTGAAAAACTTTTTTCAGTTAGTTTATTATGTTATCAGTCACTTTAATTTGAAAATTATTATGTTTAAACCTTAAAGTAAAACTTTAATATTTGTTTTGTGGTTATTTAGATTATTTTAATATATTCCACTTTTGGTTATTTAGATTTTTTTTTGCAAATTTAAATCCTTTTTACGTTGGGTGCCAATTAATGAGTCGTTCACTATTTCTTACTTTTCGGATTACTCCGAACTATTTATTTTTAAGTTTGGTAAAGAACCGTTCTGAAAGGAAATCTTACATTGATTCTTGTTGTCTAACTTAATAATAAAATGTACAGCATCAACAGGAACTGTTGCTCATGTAGTTTCCCACGAGAAGTACGATCGTCTGTGATGCACGTTGTATCTGCAACAGGTAGGGGCAATGATTATTGTAGTAGCATCTGCATGCTATTTAGCATGATCTGAATTACGGTGCAGACGCTGCAACCTTAGCTTAATTAAGTATTTGTGACATTAAGTGTCAGCGGCATTAACTCTTCCCTCTCTTAAATTCGGAACGTCCCCGTTCCGACCAGTTAATTGATTTATGATATCATCAAATAGTGTTTTTGATTTCACTCTTTCTCTGCATGATCGAATCATTAGAAATATTGTTAATGCTATTACAAGAATTAACACAAGTAAAATAGTGAGCCACCAGTTTCGTTTTTGGAACTTATAGTATTTATTTTCTTAGTGCTGAGATGTGATTCGTATTCTCAATATGTATTCTGTGAAGATATGGCAAAGAAAGTTTCGTGTTATGTTCCAGGAACTTAATGTCGAGAAATTTCGGAGCATGAGGTTCGAAATTAGTTATGTTTTCTGTGACTTTGTATTTTGTTCCGTTTATGGTAATTTTGTTTTTGAATGTTATCAGGAATGTACCCGATATATTAAATTTATGAACGTCTTCAATTACAATATTTATCTATTCTAGGAATTTTTATTACATATAAAAGGATTTCATTATTTTGTAAAACTTTTACTTTGGATACACTTAAGATGTTATTTGAACTTATTTGGTACATTTTCAGAGTCAATCAGATCAT